CTTTATAGGTCTCCTTTTAAAAAAAAATTTCATATGTAATTTTTTTTCCTTTTTTTAAAATAATTGGCTGATCTGAAATCTCACACAAATAAAATTGGCCATATGTAGATCAATGGTGGTAAGTCCCCAAATGCCTTTTATACCTAATCAGACATAAATACTTAATAGACATAGACTTTAATAAAAAGTAACAAAGTTACATTTCCCTTTTGACTAGGAAAGTACTCAGAGACATATGCGAATCCTTAATCTTGAATTACCATTGGCTCTTAATGCTTTGATCTAAAGGTAATGCCCTTCTTCTGAAAATACCTACAGTTACAATAAAGCTTTGCAGTGAATTTATTGTTCTAGAAATGACCTAATAATTCGATTGATTTGATGAACTTGTTTATCAAGTTTTCTCAGTGTAACTTCCCCTGGAGAATTCTTGTCTGATTACAGTTGATCAATAATACTTTCTCCAAAGCTGGAGGTATAGGCTTTTATTTCACTCAAACATCAGGATCTTTCATGAAGCTTCATTCTGTTTTTTCTAATAAATCTATGTCTTATATTTCAGTTTGTTGTATGTATAGATTTATTATTGCATGGACAAATAACCAAAATGTTTTCTAAGACTTTTTTAAACAATATGTGGGGGGGGGGATATAAGCATGTGAGTGAAGGTGCACACAGAGGTTAGAGGCTTTCCATTCCCTTAGAGTTGATAACATTATATAATATTGAACTCACTGTAAGCCCTGTAAGACATAAAATTGAATGAGTTTTTAACCTTTAAAAAGATATCCATTTCATTTTGAAATATACTGTTTTTTACAGAAAGACTAGTTGTTTTTGCTACTAACACTGAGATGTTGGTGCATGTGTCTCTAATCTGTATGTATCTAATTATTACTAGTCATAATCGATTGCACTTAGATCCTTGGTGCCTGTGTATGTCTATAAAGTCACTGGGTAGATTTCAATGGTAATGTTTATCACCTCTACTAATTAACATGATGTAAATTTTTATGCTTCCTCCTCAAATACAATTCATTTTTTAATTTGTTGATTGTGTGTGCGTGTGGAGGGGTGTATCACACAGAACATCCCTAACCATCTTATTCAACTGTACACCCACTTCCCAGATGGCACCCTCCTATAGCCTCCCTCCCCCAACTAGACCCCTTATACTCTGTTATCCCTGCTACTGTCTGTTTAGTGTTTTTACTATGATCTACCATGGAGAGTTTCTTTTCTGGCCTTGTCTGTTTGGTGTTCTATATGCTTCTTGTATTTGTATGGGCATTTCTCTCTTTAATTATGGGAAACTTTCTTCCACGATTCTGTTGAAGATCTGGTCCATGCCGTTATCTTGGGATTCTTCTCCTTCCTGTATGCCTATGATTCGTAAGTTTGGTCTTTTTATGGTGTCACACAATTCTTGCATATTCCATTCTTGTGCTTTCTTAAATTTTTCATAATCTTTGCTTGAGTGGTCTAGTTTGTCTACTTTATCTTCCAGTCTTGATATTCTGTTTTCCATTTCATTCATCCTATTGGTGAGGCTTTCTCCTGTCATTTCTAATTGACTTACTGAGTGTTTCACTTCCTTCTTCATTTCAGCCTGAGTAGTCTTCAATATTTCTCTTTTCTGAATTCATTCGAAAGTTTATCCCGATCTTCCTTCAGTTCTTTGGTTTCTTTGTGTGTTCTTTAAATTCCCTGAATTCTTTTATCATGTTTATAATTGTTCTTTTGAGTTCCATGTCCTGCATTATCTCTAGGGGGTTCTTGTAGTAGTCTTCTAGACAACTATTGGTATTTGGTGGGGATATGTTATTTTGGTTTTTCATGTTATTATTTTTTCTCTGTGATTTTGACATATGAATTTCTTTTGTAGTTTTCGATTCTTTATGAGACTCAAGCCTTCAAGTTTAGGTCTGCTTCTTTTTGTAAACTTTATATGCCTTTGTGGTTTACTTTTTGGGCATGAAAAGCTGGTTCATCTAAGCTTCCAGTTTGCTCTTGATTTTATATTGGAGTGGCCAGATTGCTTTTGTCTTCAGGAGTTCCCACAGAGGCCCCAGTCAGATGAGGATCGGATGCTCTCAGGCTTTTTCCCAAGGTCTGGATCCCTCCAGGAAAGATTTTGGCCTCAGGAATTTGGGGGTTGGACTGGCCTGGGAAAGATGCTGGTTTGGGGCAGCTGGTGGTTGTACCACCTAGAGATGCAAAGGGAGATGGGGGAGGGAAGAGGCCCCAAGGGCCCCTGGGGACTGCAGGGAGGAATTGGGTTGGCCTGGATGCAAAGGATCAGGAAGCAGTGGTGGTTTCCCCAGTGTCTGGGGTGCCAAGACAAGGAATGCGACAGTACCCAGGCTAGGAGGAGAGACAGGCCGGGGAGATGGGAGGGTGAATGAGGCTGGGGGAGTCAAGGCGAGGAGGGCACAATGGACTTACACAGGAGAGAGGCTGGTGGGTTGTGCAGGCCCAGGGAAACAGAGGGAGGTGAGGTTGGGACCAGGCCCAGAGGGCTCCTGGGGACCGTGAGAAGGAACTGGGTTCATCTGGATGCAAGGGATCAGGAAGCAGTGGTGGTTCCAGGCTGTGAGGTCAGCCCTGGTGTCCAGGAAAGAGTCTGGTGAGTTGTGGAGCTCAGGGAAGCAGAGCATCTTTGAAACTTTTAAGTGTGGCTTTTAACAGTGCCAGTTTATCTTGCCAGTCAGTTATTATAAAGGAGAGCCTTGCAACATTAAATATTAGCATGTTTCAAGAACTATATCTTAGAATAACTATATGGTCAGTTCAGTGGTGTGAGTCTTAATACTAAGCCAGCAGTCAGTCATCTTCTGAGAAGTGACTTTTAGAAGGTATTTTTCCATAATTACATACACTTGCAGTAATCAAGTGTGTATGTTATGTGTGTGGTGTTTTCTTATGTGAAATCTATACTGTTACTAACTCTTCTAATTATTTTAATAGAACCAGCATTGATTTTTATTACTTAAACAAGTGTCCTATTTTTTGTGCCTATAACACTTTCAGAGTGGTTTTCTGCTTTTCAATAAGGAAAGCACACTTGGTCCTGTGATTTATGTGTGATTTAGCACACATAAATTATCTGTCTTATGAAGTTTTCATAATTAAATATTCTTGTAAACTTTACTTTCAAAGAATTTTAGGCTTGCAGAAAACTTAGAAAAGAGTCCAGACTTCTTTTATATCCTTCACCAGCCTCTCCCTAATGTTGACCTGTAAGAGATAAGATAAACACAGTACAGTAAATATAAGCATCAATACTTCATTTTCTGTTCTTCTTAAAACAGTAGTTTGCTTTGTAGCCCAGGCTGGTCTCAAACTCATAACTCTCCTGCCTCAGTCTCTGGAGTGCTAGGATTATAGGGCTGTGCTACCCTGCCCAGCTGACACAGAGGTTTTTAAATCTAAATTAGCATTGGTACTATATTGTTAACTACACTACAGGCTTTGTTTTCCTCCTGTTTTTCCACCGATTCCTCCTCCTCCAGGTTCCTGCTTTTCCTTTGTCATTAATAAATATCTCAAAGGAAATAATTTGAAAATATACAAGTATTCTTTTTTTACCCACCTCAGAATAACTAATTTAGCATCCATTGGGTCATCTTGTCTTCAGCAAATAACTACTTTTGTATTCTATATTTATTGAAATTCTGTCTGAGATAGAGCTGTCACTTCTACCTTATTTATTTATTATGTCAGTATAAATGACAGATATATGGTTTATTCGTTGGGTTATCATGTAATACTAGCATTTATATTCTTTCACATTCATTGCTTTAGCTTTGGCTCTCGGGGCATTTTCAGCTTGGTCCTGTGCCTTTTTGGTATGCTTCATTCCTCATATATATGTATAAGAGAGTTTTATATACATAAATTGCTTTTATGAAAAGGATGTATGTTGCTTATGATAAGAAACTTCCTTTAAGGTTTTTATGCTTCCCTTTTACCCTACCTTCCCTGGGACTTTTTTGGTGGGGAGGATATACAAAATACTCAGGACAATACAAAAATAACGACTCTGAATTTCCTGTATCATTTAAATGACATGCTTAAGAAAGCCTATCTTCCTAAAATTGAAGTACTTATCTTTTTAAAAACACCATCAGTGTAACTGGAAGTCATTAGAAATACCATGTTTTTTTCAAAAGACTATTGCAGGATGATTGAATTTTTTTTTAGAGTTGCTTCTATATCAGAAGTGAAATTTTGGACAGTGTCTCCCTTGTAGCCAAGGCTGCCTTCAAACTCACTCTGCAGCCCCACTCTGGCTTTAAACTCATGATCCTCAGCTTCCTGGATGATGGGATTATAGATATAAGCCACCAGATCTAGTTTTAAATAAATTTTCTTTTAATTTCAAATTTCTGTAGGCATTGTTTTAATGCTAAGCAATCAATACTTTTTTTTTTTTTTTTTTTTTTTTTTTTTTTGAGGCAGAGTCTCCCTGTGGCTCCAGCTCGCCTGGAACTTGCTATGTAGATCTGGCTGGCCTCCATCTCACAGAGATCCTCCTGCCTCTGCCTCCTGAGTCTTGGAATTAAAGGCGTGTGCCACCGTGTTTGGTCAGTCAGTACATTTTTAAAATTGTTTTTGATATTCTAAGTGATACAGTACTTTTAATTCAACAGGGCTGTCTTCTAGGAAAGTGATTCTAAATACAAGCGGCCTCTACTACAATATTGAGCTTCTGAACTTTGGCCAGGTAATTATGAGCAGAGTAGGAAGAATTTCATTTTAATTTGATATTTCATTAAACAAATCACTTGTTTTTGTCTTTGTCAAATTGTATTAGATTTACCAAGCTTTTAAAATCAACGTGGTAAGCAAGTGCTCCGGAGTCAAAGGTAAATGTATTTTCTGAAAATATATAGGGATAGTATTACCATTTGAACCAGTGGGTCTGCACTTGAATTTTCTTTAATGCTTATTCTTGCTTTTGGGCAGGGGGGAAGTGTGTTTTACTTTTCTGCTGGAATTAGAGGTGTGCACCACTACACCTGGTTCATAACCCTTTCTTAGAGTAAAGCATCTTCATCTCTTTCATATGCCTTTAAAACATACCATATGTCTTGGGACAGATGAGATGGCTCAACAGATAAAGACCTGAATTTGATCCTTAGAATTCATGGGAAGATGGAAGGGTCGAACCAACTGCACAGAGTTGTCCTTTGACCTCTGTACCCAAGCCTGTGTGTGTGCACATACACACACCACACACACACTCATAAATAATTTTATAAAGTACTATATATCTTGTGTTATTATAGTAATAATTCAGATTTAGCTGCTTGCTATTCTTTTAGTTTCTGAGTACTACTCACATGCTTTAATATCTTTTGTAAGTCTAATTTTCAATAATTTTTATTGTGTGCATTGTGATTTTTTTTGGAAAATGTGCAATGTATAATTAGTTAAGTGTTATAGTTGTTTATAAGAGTTAAGGTAGTATGCTGAGTAATGCTGTTCTCCTTTGTATTTCAACAGAACAAATAACTAGTATCTATAAGCTTCATATTCCTTGGTCTTATGAAGATTCACTAACCATTGCACAGTAAGTATATGAAATAAATTACTTTAAACTTTGTTATTTTTAGTGGACATTGTGCTTGGATTTTAAATCACATGAATTTTTTTTTTTTTTTTTTTTTTTGGTCTTTTTGAGACAAGGTCTCCCTGTAGCCACAGCTGGCCTGGATTTGCTAATGGAGACCAAGCTGGCCTCGAACTCACAAAGATCCGCCTGCCTCTGCCTCCTTAGTGCTGGGATTAAAGGCACGTGCCACCACTCCCAATCATATGAAATATTAAAGTGCCTTTTAGTAAAATGAATGAATCCTTTAGTATCATGCCCATTAATGAAGATATTTTATAGTATTCTAATTAAATGCTATAGTACTTAAGTCTTGGTGCTTAAAACACAAACATCTTTCCTCTTTCTCCACCAGTGTGTAAGTGCCAGAGAGGGAGAGTCCACCTGTCATAATGTGCCTGTCATTTACCTTCCTCTGCATCACTTTATTATATTGTGTTGAGAACTGACTTAGCTGTGGCTATTTACCAGCATTTTGTACTTGAGAATTAATATTTCCATGATTTCTTCAGGGTTCCATCTTCCACAGAAATTTCTCTGAAACTTCATGTTGCTCAACCAGAAAATGATAGCCATGTGGCATTATTAAAAATGTACACTTCATCAGACTGTCAGTATGAGGTATGTTGGACATTTGTAAAATCTTCAAGTCTGATTTATAGACTAAGGTAATACTGTTTGTATTAGCTGAAGACATGCCACGATATGGAAGCCAATAAATATAAGAAATAAACATCTTAAATTTTCCACTTTGCCTGTTTACACAACCTCAGTATTTCCATAGATGGACTGTTTGAACATATATACATCTTAGTGAAAAGAGAAAATAAAACAAAATTGGAGGCTACAGGGTAGACATCTAAATTTGGAAGCCCAGAACTGAGAATCTTTTATAAGTTGAAGACCATCATTAAATTTTCTGACATGGCTTATTAGAGTAATTCACATGGTACATTTGGGTTTATATTTCAGCTGTGCTAGTTTAAAAGTCTCTCCTTTTCACCACTTATTAAGCTCTGTGTGTATTTCAATGGTGTGACATAACATTCTAGTTCATGTAAAATATCTTATTTCTGGTTAGCAGCTTTAAATTAAGCTTTAAATATTTGGATTATTTTTTTAAAATACATTTTATTATTTTTATTTTGTGTGTATAAGTGTATTGCCTGCATGTGTGTAAGTGCACCCATGTTGTGCAATGCCTTTGGCGATCAGAAGGGGGTGTCGAATCCCCTGGAATGGAAGTTACAGACAGTTGTTAGCTGCCATGTAAATGCTGGGCACCAAACCCAGATCCTCTGCAAGAGCAGCCAGTGTTCTTAACCACCGAGTCAATCTCTCTATCCCCATGGATTCTTTAATAGAACTAACTTCCTGAGGGTAAACTGGGACTGATGTCAAAATTAAGAAAATCTGTTCCTAGAACCAAGTTTCAGTTGAACCTGTATTATGGATTAATTTTCATTTCATGGAATTCCTGAATGTTCTGATATTTTGCACTCTGCTTCTAGCAATCATGGGGTATGTGGGTCTACTATACTTTTTAATTTGCAACTTTGTATTTCCAATATTAAAGTGATAATAAGAATTGTGTTGTCAGTTTGACTCCAAATACAACATGCTCTCAAAATGCCCATGGTTTTACCAATATTGTATATTTTTAAGAAGTCCATATTTTAACAAGACATAGTCATGATGTAACTTCCTAAAGAAAGATTTATCTTCTTTTCCCAGATTCTTAATATAATATATATGATAGAGATAATTAAGGATGAGTTATTTTCATTCTGAAATATTATTTAGGTCTAAATTAGATTAACCAAAATGATTTCTTCATAACATATTATGGTTAATTAATATTCTAGTTAGTAAAGTATTTCCACATACCATAGTATTCACCCAAGGTAACTGTACTTTATATAATTTAAATGGTGGTGCAGAAGATTCTTTTAAGAATTTTTTTGTGCCTTTTGTTTAGTTTTTGGAAAATTACCATACTTAGAGATATATAGACGCACTGTTTAATAAAATGTGAAATAGAGGAAATTAGGAAAAAAATAATCTCTTTTTTTTTAACAATTGTTTTAAACTAGGTGACAATTAGGACTTCCTTTTCACAAATACTTGGACAGGTAAGAGAAATTTATGATTGGTTGATTGTTTGTTGTGTTTTAAATAGATACTGAGAAGGGATTACAATCTCTTTCTGTAAATGAGTAATTTTATTAAGTAGAACTACAGATATTGTTATTAGGATTTACAGAATTATACAATATAGACATAAGTAATAGAGATTAGTCAGATAAATTACTTAGCTTTAAAATTCAAAAAAATTTTTATTGTTGCTTTAATTTTTTTTTTTTTGAGACACGGTCTTCCTGTAGCCCCAACTGGCCTGAAACTTGCTATGTAGAACAGGGTGGCCTCTATTTCACAGAGATCCTCCTGCCTTTGCCTCCTGAGTGCTGAGATTAAAGGTGTGTGCCACCATGCCCACATTTCTTTGATTTTTTTTTATCTGTTGTATTTTGTGACTCAGGAATAATAGTTTTTACCTTTAGTCATAATATATTAAATTAATATTGATAATAATTTTATACTTTTCATGATTATAATTCAACTCAAATCAAAATTGAATTAGAAACATTTTTATATGCATTATCTCATTTGACCATTTGGGCAACCTGTTGGGAATTAGATTTTTTAGTTATTATAAATTTCACACAATTCTGAGTTAATATATAAATATTTTGTGCTGACTTATGAAGAAACAATTTTTTGTTTGTATTGTAAAATAACATCATGAATACTTAAAATTTTCTAAAATGTTAAGGAGCCAATTAAGAAAAATTATCTCTTACAATACAAAAGATGTGGGGTTTTTTTTTGTTTTGTTTTGTTTTTGCCTTTTTGAGACAGGGTCTCCCTATAGCCCCAGCTGGCCTGGAACTCACTATGTAGACCAGGCTGGACTTGAACTCACAAAGATCCACCTGTCTCTGCCTCCTAAGTGCTGGGATTAAAGATGTGAGCCACCACACCTGGCAAAAGATGTGTTTTTAGTGTGTCCAAAGACATGCTCAGTGGTTTAGAGTGTAGATAAACATCTCTTGCCCATATCATCTCTATGGCCCATATTTTAGAGACAAGAAAATTACCTTGGTACACAATAACCAAACACAATTATACGCCAAAAGAGGATAAACTAATTTTTTTTAGATGTAGAAAATATTTCTAAAAAGTAAGATTGTATTGATGTCACAGGATCAGAGGTATGTACTTTTTTAAAATGTCAAATAAAGAACTTAGGTTGGAGCATTAAGTTCTAAAATTACCAAATTAAAAAATACATATTCTTCCTTCATCCTTGTTTAATAATTTAGCCTGTGGATTCAAGAATAAATTCAAGTTCTATAATATATCTTACTAAATAACACATTTTTTATTTTTTGTCTTTTTTATTTAATTTTTATCAACTTCATACAGTATATTTTGATTGAATTTAGATTTCCTCTCCAGTCTGTACCCCCTACCATCTGCTGTATAAGGAAGCTTCTCTGGTGAGATTTGAGATGAATTAATCTATAGGTATAGCAATAAGTCATTAGGAGACAGTTTAATACTATAAACCTGTCTGGCCACAGGTTCCTAGGCCTGATATCTATGTCAGGTATGAGCTCCATCCTATAAAGTGGACCTTAAATCCAATTAGAAAGTTGTTGGTTACTCCCATAATATTCATGCCAATATTTTACCAGGAGTCTTATCTTGTCAGACAGGTCATTGTAGCTTATAAGATTTACAGTTGGGTAAAGTTGATGATTAATCTTCTCTTCCAGTAGAATGCATAGTACCCGCCAGCACTATGAAACTTGCCAGTAGAGATGAATCTTTGAAGTCACTACCAACTTGATTTCTCCTTGTTTGTTCTAAAACTTACATGTATAGTATCTTCAGCAGTAGGGTCTTACCATAAAGTTCTGGTGGATAACCAAGAGCTGGGGTAATGGCCAGTATTGTTTGAGGGTCTCTGGGTTCCCTGATCAACAGCTTCAAGAGAGGGAGTCCATTCCTGGCACTGGGGTTTTGTTTTGTTAGGTTATGGTGTCTAGGACAGTGCTCCCCTATTATAAGGTAACTCCTTTTAATTCTTTTTATATTGTATATGTATACACTTTAAGAAGCTTCTAGAGTGGTAAGTTTCCATATAGCTTTTCCTAAAGGCCTTTAGTGTTAGATGTCCCTCACCCTGCTCCCTCCTCTGCCCTGCCCTCTCATTCCCCACCCCATTTAAACCTGGGAGAGAGATAGAATGCAGTGATATAAAGGGGAAAGGGGGATAATGGAGTAGGAAAGATTAGAAATTATCTTAAAATTTATTTTTAGTTTTTAAAACATTAGCATACAAAGTATTACTGGATGTTACTATGACATTTTCAGACTGTGTTTTAGTAGATTCTCCTCCCCATTCAACTCTCCCTGCCTTTTCCACTTGAACTTTCCCACCCAATCTCCTTTCAGTTTTCATGCCATATGTGCCCATTTACCTTCCTTCTTCCTCAGCACCTGTATTTACCTTCTTCTGGTCTCTTGTTTAGTTTTTTTCGATTTACCCACATTCGCAGTCCTTTATATACATGCATATATACTTCACAGGCTAGGATCCACAAATGAGAGCATAAGTGGTTTTTGCTTTTCTGATCTTGTGTTACTTCACTTAATATAATATTTTATAGATACATTTTCCTGAAATTTTCATAATTTCTTTTTCCTTTTCAGTTGAATCCATTGTGTATAGATGTCATTTTCATTATCCATTATCTAGCTGTTGATGCACATTTAGGCTTGTTCCATTTTCTTGTTATTGTGAAGAGAGTAGCAATAAATATGGATGTGCAAGTTTGATGCAGTTCTTTTTCTAATTTTTTGTGGTTCTTTTTGTTTGTTTTTGTTTTTTGACAGGGTCTCCCTAATCCCAGTCCACCTGGAAGTCATTATGTGAACCAGGCTGGCCTCGATCTTGCAAAGATCTGAGTACCTCTGCCTCCTGAGGGCTGGGATCAAAGGCATGCACCACCACACCCAGCATTAATCTTTTAAAATTTATTGAATTTGTTCTTGGACAGTTTCATACCTCTGTTAATGCATACTGGTTACTCTCATCCCACACCTTCACTTTCTCACATTCCTGTCTGCCCCCACTAACACTCATGCCACTATTGCAGAGATGGCAGGTTGGTTTGTAGTTCATAGGGTTTATAGACTGTTGATGCCTTTCCTCTCCCAGCTGCCTACATCACACTTGGAAAGTTGGCCAACAGGAAGGAGGCTTCCAGCTCAGTTCCAGCTTGCTTTCTCTATATCTTGCAACCAAGGTGTGTGGTGCCATCAGTAGTTTTATCCTCTAGTTCTGATGAGCAGCCTCGAGAACTGGCAAGGACCTGGATTGTTTGGGGGCTTCTGCCTCCCTGACCATCAGCTCCTGTGGAGGAAATCCTACACCTGCCACTGGGAATTGTGTGTAGTAGCCCATGGCTTCTAGGAACACCACTGTCTAACCAGGCGAGGCATCTCTTCAATTGCTCTCTCTCTCTTTTTTTGGACTTTTTGAAAAAGGGTTCGATTCCCAGCACCCACATAGCAGCCTTGAACTGTCCTTAACTCCAGTTCTAGGGGAATCTGATGCCCTCTTCTGACCTTGGCAGCATTGCGCAACAAGGGTACACTCACATACGTGCAGGGAATACACTCATACACATAAAATAAAAATAGTAAATAAAATATAAAAAGATTTGTTTTTATTAAATTTTGTATTTCATATAGAATGTCTCAATCTGAATCATCTTTATAGCCCCATCCCTACCAGATCCCTCCCACCCCACCCCCCACTGGAACCCATATACTCTGTCCTGAGTGTTAAGGCCCACTGTGTCAAGTCAGTGTCCCCAGATGTTCCCCAGTGCAAATCCATTCCCCTGGGGTCTAGTTAGATCCCTCTCATCTCTCTATCCAAACACCTATCATTTTCTTTTTTTAAAATTAAAAAAAATTTTTTATGTGTATGAGTGTATTACCTACATGTATGTGAGTGCACCCATGTCATGAAATGCCGTGGAGATCAGAAGAGGGCATCATATTCCCCTGGAACTGGAGTTAAAGACGACGATTAGTCGCCATGTGGGTGCTGGAACTCGAACCTGAATCCTCTGCAAAAGCAGTCAGTACTCTTAACTGCTGAGCCATCTCTCCAGCCCCTTCCTTCCTTCCTTCCTTCCTTCCTTCCTTCCTTCCTTACTTCCCTCCTTTCCTTCCTTCCTTCCTTCCTTCCTTCCTTCCCTCCCTCCTTCCTTCCTTTCTCTTTCTTTTTTTCCTTTTTTTTTTGGCTTTTAAAATTGGTTCTAAGATAGTAAGTTTCTGTATGATTGTTTTCATATACTGTTCATTTTGGTTAATCCTCTCCTTCCACCCCCTTGTCTCCCTGATTCCACTTCCCCTCCACAACTCCCCTGCTTAAACCTTCCCACCCCCAGTATTCCCCTTTCTCTGTTTTCCTTTTCCCTATGTTCTGTGCCCCCACCACCTTAAGGTATTGCATCCACTAATGTCCCTTCCTAGCTTAAAAAAATTTTTTTTTAATGTTTCTGATAATAATGAGAGAAACCTGGGTTACAAAGAATTAAGAGTAACCACTTGGGAGAATTTTTAGCCTTTGATTAAATAATCTTTTCACAAATCATTTTTTTTTCTGAAAAAGGAAAGAGGATAGCACATTTACATCTTCTTTAGACTATTTTCATGAAAAAGGGGACAAAAAATAACTTACAAATTACTTTCTGAAGAAAACTTTATAAACTCTACTCAGCACAGGAAGTCCAATGTTGCTTGATCTTTAGATTTTAAGAGAAACTGAAATCTGGGGTTTTGGGTGAAATTAAAATTTTTTTTTCAATATTAGCATCTAATTCAAATTTTACGCAAACACTATGCCAGATACCAAGCCAAATGAAGCCTGTCTGCAGTTTAACTCTGATCGAAGGCCAGTTTCTGATTATTGATTTAGTAGTACTTTATGTACCAGCTGTATCCATGGCCCAAAATAATATTCAGTGCTTCTAACAATGGCCTTTTATCAGTAAAAGAAATTTTATGTTCAGAGTACAAGTGTCTAAAAGCAGTTAAGAATGTGAATGATTAATAAGTCATATTCACAAGTGTCTAAAAGCAGTTAAGAATGTGAATGATTAATAACAAGTCATATTTTCAATCAGTTGCAGTGTGTCAGTTACCATTTCAGATAGTAACACAAAGTAAACACAATTAAGCCTTCTACCCCTATGAGGTACCTGCTGTTTATCTCTTATACTGGTGAGGGAGGGTGTAGAGATAAAAAGGTATACCTTGTGCATGAACACAGGCCTGATAGGAAGTAAGGCTGGATCTCCAATCCCTGAACCTGCGTAACCTTATTTCACTTTACTGCTTAACTTTACTCCTTAAGCTGATCTACTAACTCTTGGGCTCTAGTGATTCTACTGCCTCAGTCTCCTGAGTATCCACCTCAGCATGCTTTCATTCCACTCTGCATAACTAAAGGATGCTTTACATTTCCTAGTATGACATTAGCAAGCAGTGAATATCATTTAGGCTGACTGGCAGAAGTGGCCTTTTCCATCTTATTTTGAGTCTAAGTTTTTAAAATTTTTTGAATCTTTTTTTAACCTGTAAGTAACTTAGTAATATTAACATTTATGATTGAGGGAGGTATGTCATCTCTATACTTGAACTTTTTGTGCCTGTAAAATACAGATGAGGTCTACTTCAGAGAATTTTGGGGGAGATCAGGGCATGAGATAATGCATATAAGGTGTTTAGTATTGTTTCTGAAACACTAAACACTCAGGACACATGCTTTGAAAACACTGGAGGGAGTTAGGAGGGTGCTAAACTTTTTGAAGTTTTTATTCATGTATTATTTGTTTGTTTGTTTGTTTTTATGTGTATAAGTATATTGCCTGCAAGTATGTATGTACACCCATGTTGTGCAGTGCCTAAGGAGGTCAGAAGAAAGCATTGGAGCCTGTGGAACTGGAGTTATGAATGGTTGTTAGCTGCCATGTGGGTGCTGGGAATCAAACCCAGGTCCTCTGTAAGAGTGGCCAGTGTTCTTAAACACTGAGCCATTTCTCCAGTCCCAACTTTTTGAAGTTTTACATACTATTTTGTGTAAGCTTTACCTTCTGTAGATATTATCAGATTACCAGGGAGTTTATGTTCTAAAAATACTCTTTGGGATAGAAAATTTAAGGTACATTGAATTTTAAAATTTAAGAGCAAGAGAAGTAATTAACATGCACATATAAAAATGTCACAATTAGACCGATTATTTTGTATTGTTGTATAATTACTATTGCCAAAGCAAAAAAAGTTACAGCTGGGCACCCCTTTAATCCCAGCATTTGGGAGTCAGAGGCAGGTAGAGATCAAGGCAACCTGGTCTACATTCCAAGTTCAGGCCAGCTGGGGCTACAGGGAGACTCTGTCTCAAAAAAATTGCTTAACGCTTTTAATACAGTCTATTTTATACAAGTTAGGCCAATTGGCAGAATGACTTGACTATAACATAGTGGTTATGAACTTAGGCTGAGTTTAAATTCTAGTTTCACAGGATTTCAATTTAGTGAAGGACATAAGAAGTTAATAATTACAACTAAGGATTTCTGATAGCTTGTCATGTGAATTAACTTTCTAAATGCTTTGTACAATGATTATCTTAACCTTTATAACCTGTGAGTATGTGAGTATTATTACTGTCCCCATTTTACTAATAAGCACATGGAAGTAAAGGTGTCTATGAACATTTGCAGTCTTGCAAACCTGAATTCTTTTGCCCTTAAAACAGGATAAGATCTAAGTCAAAGGATTTTCTTTTGAGAGGAGAGCATTAGATAATGCATATATGATGTTTAGTGTCTTGATTGCAACATAGGTGCTCAGTAAGTGTGCTTTGAAAAAGGCTTTGTAGTACATGCATTCAGTTATGCCCCTGATGAAAACTCAGATGTTTCTATTTTGCTATACAGTGTTAACATCTATTTTACTTAAGTTTTGATGCTCATTCCTAGAAATATGTGTCTGGCCATGTCAGGAAAAGTGCAAAGTGAAGCATAACCCTTTTGTGTGAAAGTGCATTTATTTCATTAACAGTTGACTTCATTTTGAAGTTAACCATTGCCTTGCCTGTTTTCTAGGTGGTTCGATTTCATGGCGGAGCTCTTCCTGCTTACGTTGTGTCTAGTATCCTTCTCGCTTATGGAGGACAGTTATACTCTCTTTTCTCAACAGGTAAGCATGCTTACACTTTCAAAGTTATTTTTGTTATACATTTTAAAGTAGAACAACTTTTAGTTCTATGTGTGCATTTACCCTTGTTGATTGTTCTGTTTGCTGTTTTTGTGTTTTTGTTTTTCTAGTACTAGGATCAAACCTAGAGCTTTGTCAATTCCAGGCACTGTCACTGAGCTACAAACTCTGTGTGCATAACAGTTAAATTATCCTAAATTAGAAGACATAATAAGAAAGTTTTTGGAAATAAAAAAGCTACTACCACTGTCACTGAAAACTCTATCAATGTAGCATATGATTTTGTGACCAGGCTTCTTTATATCTTTTTACTTCCCTATTATTTGAGTTTAGGACAGCCAGTCCAGAGACCGCTAGTTCATGGCCCTGTGATGTCTAAATCACTAATGTTCTCTAAGCCCATCATTCTGTATCAGCACCATTTTTAGAGGAAAAGAGTTTTATTTTCACTTTAAAGAAATTAACTTTTTAAAAAGTGAGTGTAGGAATCAAACTATATAATATAATTTTTAATTTTTCACCTCTTGTGTCTTGTAAAATGGATAACAAAATTATTTTACACTTTAAAAAATTGCTCATAAAAATGAGGAGGAAAGCAAGAGCAGAGGAAAGGGAAGATGGGAAGGCGGCAGGAAAGAAAGAACCGGAAGGGAGTGAGGGGAGGAGGGGAGCAGTTAAGAGTGCCTAATAATCAGTTGTCAGTGTTTATTCAGTAAGATTGGGGTCGGCTGTCTATTTCCCCAGTTCTAACTTGCACTAAGAGACATCTGGGGACACTAACGACATAATAGGCCTTAACACAAATGACAGAATGTGTGAATTCCAGTGTGGGGAGCTTATGGGAGGTTGCCAGTGGAGGAGGGGGTATAAGATGATTAAGATTGATTGAGCTGTCCTATATAAAATACACAAAAATTCAATTGTAAAAAAAAAAAAAAAAAAAGAGTGCCTCGTATTGTTAGGGGATTTTAAAGTATTTAGTACTTTTCAGATAAGGTCCACACATTGCCGTTTGTCATTAGGTTCAATCATTACGTTCTTTCATGATTTCTACCCTCTGTCTGCCCCCACCCCATCTTGTAATTTACTGAATGCATTTTGTTCTTTTATGTTTCTCATGGTTTAGTGTTTGCTGATGACGTCCCTATGGTGGCATTGAACATGCTCTTCTGAATTTCTCTTCTTTTACTCTTAAATAGGTATCAGAGCTATGAGCTTCGGCGGCTCCTCTTCCGCACTGCCCTCCCTTGCTGTTGCTCCTGCTTCTACAGAAGCAGCAAAATTGTTTTAGCGTTGAATAAATAGCTCTGTAGTAGGCGTGGACTCACTGATCCTGTCATCCTAGTTTGTTCCTTCCCTCTCCGGCCTTCCTCCCAGACCTCTCCTTTCCTCTCTTCTCTCGTCTTCCAATCCTTCTCTTCATTTCCTCCCTATTTCTTTCCTCATATCCCCTGTCTCTCAGCTCCTTCCCCTCCTAGTCTCTTTTTCCTCCTTATTTCTATGGACCAATCCCTTATTAATACTTTTTTTTTAATCTTACACATGACTAAAGACAGCAGATTCATGGCACGTCCCCTAAATTCGTAAGGAGTTAGATTCCTCTAAATTTTAAGACCCTCCCTCAAATACTTCATTTCCTTGTTTTATAACTTGGTGCCTCATGTTAGTTCTCTATTTTGAGAGCCTCTTAAGATGCATTCAAAGAACCTTGTTGTCCATTCTGTTTCTAATAAGCTTTCAGTTTACTAGTCTGTATCAGCTGGGCCTCCCTGTGGCTCCAGCTGTCCTGGAACTCACTATGTTCTGTCAGTTAAGTTCTGGTACACTGAATTTTAGAATCATTGAGATTTTAACAAAGGGACTGCTTGAAGAGTCTTCAAGGTTAAGGGAAAACAACAAAAGGTGATAAAGTGCTTGATTAACATCAGAGCATCTGACACTCCTAGATACCAGGCAAGCCCAGAGAGCTGTGGGAATGGGTAACGTTACTAGAGCTGCGGCATTGATTATTGGTGTACTGCAGCCACCACCAGCCTGTGGCCCAGCAGGGCAGAAGATGGAGGAATGCATCTCTTAACTGTATTCCTTCCTACTTTGCTGTCTGCTATTAATGCCAATTTATTGAACCTAAAGAAGCTTGTCCATAAAATTCAGCCTCCGAGTCAGCAAAGTGAAGGGTAGAGAATGGTTCTGAGGAAGGAGATGTAGAATATGTGAAGTGACCAAAGCTTCCCTCGAGTAAAGCAGTTCCTTGTCAAGAGGCTAAACTCTGTGAGGTGGGAATAATTAAAGGAGGTAGAGATGGGGGAGAAAAGTGAGGCCAGCCTATAGAAAGCCATGAATCTGCCTCACCATTTGAATCCTGCCAAATCCTTCTTGAACTACCCACAAAATTTCCATACCCTTTAATAGCTTTTACGAACCTACCATTCATTTTTAACCTGCTAACCTATACTCCAAGGAGAGGAAAGAAGTATTCAGTGTATCTGTTCCAGAACCAGCCTTTTAAGAAATGAGCATAGAAGGTATTAAATATCATACTGGCATTTTAAGCAAAGTGCGTTACAGTTGGTTTGCCTCCCCAGTCATCTCCCCCTGCCCGTACCCCCCTTTGCTGTCACATGTCTTTTTGTATTCCCTGCCTCCTTAGTACCTCTTTTTACCTTTGCTGGTTCCTTTCTCATGTTTAGGCTTTACTCATGTTTATACCCACTTACACACAAACTAGGACCCATGTGAGAGAAAACATGCAGCTGTTGTCTTTCTGAGTTTCTGTCCCAATCTTTTAATTAAGAGGATATTATGGCACTATAACACCAGTCGGACTTGAATATATGTTTGTTATGTTTTGAAAAGAGAGACTTCATACTTCTTTGTTCAAACAGACCTGGTAATTGATTCTGAATCACACAGAATTTACTGGATTGTCTGCAGAGACTTCAGGAATATTTGAAACCAGCTAGTTCTAGAGGATTTAAATTCCAAAGTAGGTCTCAAACCAAGGATGCATGTCAGAAGTCACCCATGGATAATACCCACTAGAATGAGTATACTAAACATACGAAAAGTGTTGATAAAGATATGGAGAAATTGGAACACAACTGTGGGAAGCAGTCTAACAGTGCCTTAAATGAAAATTAAACAGAGTTACTGTATAATTTAGCATGATTGTTCCTAGGAATACACCAAAGAGAAATGAAAGCTTGCATCCACATAAAAACATGAATATAACATTGTACATAAATGTTATAGCAGCACTAGTCATCATAGCCAAAGTGGAACGTGCCCATCAGTTGCTCAACCTAAATAAAATGTAACATCCATATAATGAAATATTCATCAATAAAAAGAAATGAAGGGCCCCTTGAGGATGTAGCTCAGTGATAGATCATTTGCTTAGCATGCATGAGATCCCCTCTGGGTTTGATCCCTAGGACCTCAAAAAAGAGTACCTGGACATGTTAAAATAGGGACAAATCTTGAAAAATGTTGAGTGAAAGAAGCGAATCACAAAGGATCATTCATTATAGGATTCTGTTTATATGGAATGTTAGAATAGAAATATCTATAGTGACAGAAAAATAGATGAGTGCTCACCTAAGAATGGACAGTTTGAAAAGCAAAGTGTCTTTGGGGATGATGAAAATGTTCTAGGACTGATTATACTGACAGATGCACAACTGAGTATGCTGAAAATCATTGAACTGTATAGACTTTAAATGACTGGATTATATAGTATTAGAATTACCTCTCAGTTAAAGGTATTCTTAAGAGTCGCTTATTGAGATTTATGAAAATACACATTGTGAAGCCTTAGCTTTGACTCCAAGCATTGGCTTTACAAATGACTAGCTGTGTATGAAAGTTAACTTAATTTTCAAGACATCTCTGATAATAGTAAAGACCTTGCATTTTCTGATGTTCAATGCTGTTCTTATGTTATATATTACTTTTATAGACAATGCAAGATAAAACATATCTCATGTTTAATTACTGTAAATTCTGTTACATATATATGGATTTTTCTAATCACCAGGTTATTGCTTAGAATATTCTACCTTATTGGATAAAGAAGCCAAACCATACAAAGTTGATCCGTTTGTAATTATGACTAAATTTTTGTTGGGGTAAGTTTTAATATCTGTGATAAAGATTTTAACTTTATGTATAAAATATTGTTTGATTCCATAATGTAGTATAAATTGTCATATAAATTTGGCAATTGATATAATCCATTAAATTAGTTTGTTCTTTTAGGAAAAGACCCAATATATCTATAAGATTTTTTTTTGGTCTTTTTGAGACAGGATCTCCTTGTAGCCCCAGCTGGCCTAGAACTCACTATGTAGACCAGGCTGGGCTTGAACTCACAGAGAGCCACCTGCCTCTGCCTCCCAAGTGCTGGGATTGAAGGTGTGTGCTACCATGCCTGGCTCAATATAGTGTAATAATTTCAAAAAAGTAATTATAGATTTTTATGTAAGTAATTATATAAACCTAAAATCTTAAACTGAAAATAAATCAGGACTTTATGTGTTCATGTGTATAGTCTGTGACCTTTGAGTGTCCCAGATTGACAAGGAAAATTATTGTAGGGTATTGATGACACAGTGCTTCTGATCACTTTCTCTTCCCCTATAGAGCATATTTTAGACCTTTCTACCCAAGTTAACATTCTGTTATTAATCTATCCACATTTGATAACTTATTGGTTACGAACCATTTTTTTAGATCTCTTTTATTCTGTCATTTCAACCAGCTGTTGACTTTGTAACTTAGAAAAGAAGGGAAAGACTATATTACCTCATGCAGGGATTAATAGGAATAAAGTTGTGTTGAGACTCAGGACTCAGAGACCTGATGATCAGTAGATTCCTATGGAAGAGAAATGACTTGTTTCATTCAAAAGATTTAAGAGCCAAGGGCCAGGAAGGTCACTCCGTGGGTAGGAGTGCTTGAGGTGAATGCATGAGGACCTCAGTTTGAATCCCCAACATCTGTGTACAACAACTGGGTGTGGCCACAAATGACTATAACCTCAACATTGAGGGTGAGGGGTGAGGCAAAGACAGACAGATCCCTAGAGCTTGTTGGCCAGCCAGCCTAGCTAAAAGGGCAAGTTTTTAGTTTGGTGAGAGACCCTGTCTCAAGGAAATAAGGCATAGAGCTATAAAGGAAGGTACCTGATTATCCTCTGACCTTCATGCATATACAACACAGGCAGAGAGAGAGAGAGAGAGAGAGAGAGAGAGAGGAGAGAGAGAGAGAGAGAGAGACAACACACACACACACACACACACACACACACACACACGCACAATTAAAAGCCAAGAATGGTCACACACATTTGTAATCCCAACCCTCTGGAGGTGGAAACAGGAAGATCAGTAGTTCAAAGCCAGTTTGAGCTACATGAGACCCTGTCTGAAAAACAAACAAAAAAAGAATATTTGTTTTTCAGTTTATTTTACACAATGGAGAGTTTACAACTTTAAAAGATTCTAGTAAATGGCCAAACACCTTAAATAATAAACCCTGAAACATCAGTTGTTACAGTTTTGTTTTTGCTTCCATTTTACCATTTCATTTGTCCACAGGTATAAATGGTTTAAGGAATTATGGGACGCAGTATTATTACCGGAATTAGATGCCATCGTTTTAACTAGTCAGAGTATGTGTTTCCCTCTTGTATCCTTGATTCTCTTTCTGTTTGGAACATGTACTGCCTACTGGAGTGGTCTACTCTCTTCTACATCTGTGAGGCTGCTTTCTTCATTGTGGCTAGCTCTAAAAAGGTAAAAGAATATCTAAAAGTTTTCTTACTACTCTTAAGGAAAAATTAGGACTGGAATACATAGCTCAGTGGTAGAACATCTACCTAGCATGTGCTAGGACCTGAGTTTGATCCTTACATTGAGAAAAAGAAAAGAAAAAGAATAAAATAAATAGATACATTCTGATTGTGAACCTTAAAATTATTTCATTAGCTTATTTTGTAGGGAAGAATGCTGACTTCAGTAATCAAATCTGAAGGCAAGACACTCCAATCCTTATCTTGAGCATCTGATTCAGTGACTCGAGTAAAGGATTTGAAGCCTTGCCTGGAGTTGTATTATAGGCCCAAAGATACAGTTTGAGTCTAAAGTTACTGGTGGCTTTTCTAATTAAAACCCACATGTAGTTTCCAGTTCACACGTCCATAGCAAACTTGTGATGTGGTTTCCTGTCACAGAGGAGGTGTGGGTGGGGCTTCTTCCTTCATAGTTCTGCAGTTGTTCCCAGATTTCTGTCTGTAAGACCATCAAGTGACTGAGGGATCTCAAGGCTTTAAAAATGGAAATTTGTTCTTCTGTCAAGATTGGAGATGCATGACACAGGATCTATAAAATTGTCATGTTTGGCAACATTTTTTGCTTCTTTAGTACAAGTATCGACTATAACATGTCCGATCAAAACAATCATCACAGTGTGATGTAGAATTTAACTTAAAATCTATGTTTATTTAAAAGTATTTTATAGTTTATGTTACTTATTAATAACCAGGGGAGAGGCTGGCAGAGTACTTCAGGTTCAGTGTCCTGTATCTGAAACGCTTGGGACAAGAAGTGTTTCCGGTTTCAGACTTTCTTGGATTTTGAAATAATATGCCTATGCATCATGAAAAATCTTGGGGATGGGACCAAAGTCCAAACCCCTAACTCATTTGTTTCATATCACTTTTCATATGTAACCTGAAAGTAATTTTATAGTTTTCTTCATGTGCTTGCAGTTTGGCTGTGGCCCATCACATGAAATCAAAGTTTGGAATTTTCCACTTGTAACATCTTGGCACTCAAAAAATTTTGCATTTTGCAGCATTTCAGAGTTCAGGTTTTCAGATTAGGGATGCTCAGCCCATTGTTCTCTTTTTTTCATGTTTGTAAAGATATGTTACTATATATTTTTTAAACTTTATTCTTTGTATCACAGACCAGCTGAACTTCCTAAAGATATCAAAGTGATGTCACCAGACTTACCGTTTTTGATGATCGTTTTGATCATAATTAGTTGGACAACATGTGGAGCGCTTGCCATACTTCTATCTTATCTTTACTATGTGTTTAAGGTATGTCAGGGCAATAAAGCCAGAAGGCCTGGCCTTTGTGTTAGGTCTATATGGCATGCTTATAGGTATTAGTAAAGTTTTTAATTACTACTGAATATAATCGTGTATCACATAACAAGTTTAAATAAAAAGGTGTGGTTTTTTAGCATCTTGTTATTTAAATTAAATATAGTTAAGTGTAGAACTGAAAGTATTGGTCAGAGTTGGGGTTTGGGTTAAAACAAAGGCGGGGGAAAAGATGGATCTGTTTTAGGCTGCTTCTTGCTCTTGCAAATGTTAACTTTTTAAATATTGTATTAGAACAGATTTATTCATACCTCTCTTTGATCATGAGAGAAAATGAAGTTTTGTTACTTGTGATCAAGTCACATTCAGGCTGAGATAACAAAATATCAACAGGTATTTATGAAGAATCAAAGGAATTGATAAAAAATAATAGGCTTGGTAATTTTACTGAAGAAGTAAAAAAACACTGAGTAAATGGAGAGCTTTATGGGAAAATCTGAGCAGCTCTATAGTGCACAATTGTACAGAGATACTTGATATCACAGTGGATAATGATTTTTACATTTTAAAACAAAGATATATCTGCCTCTGTTTTTTAACTAGTACATGCAAACTGTAGATGATTTTCAGTTTTCTAAAGGAAATTTTTGTACATTTGACTGTTTAGAGCTACTTCAGTTTATAAATGATATTGTTAATAATGGCTAGGCATGGTAGCTCATGCCTTTAATCCTGGCACTTGGGAGGCAGAAGCAGACAGATCTCTGTGAGTTTCACCATCATATTTAATTGAATTACTATTATATTGAGTATAATCAAATGTTTGACCTACAAGACATGTAAAATTGCCATAGCAAGGCATCATTCAATTATAAGTTCACAGGATTTAGAAGGTATTGCAATACAGTCTGATCTATCATAATCTGAAAGTTGGT